GGGGGGGGGGGCTAACTTCCATCAATGGAAAACAATAAAAAAAGCATCTAATTCTTCAGTTTTTTTTTCTGCTGAAGGGGCCGGGGTGGCTTCAGCCCCCCTTTGTCCCCCCTGGATCCGCCCTTGGTCCATACATGCAAGATTAGGTTAAATGTAAACTGATAAATCCAAAATTGTGAAAGATAAATTTACAAAATAATAATTCAAAGATGTCGTTAGTACCTGGAGTAAGGACAAATCCTGAAGTTCCACCTGATTGCAATCCTTGTCCTTTTTGAGCACTTTCTGCCTGCTCTGATTCATATACTTTATTCGACTATAGGAAAATAATGCCAAAAAATGTACTAAGAAAAACTTACATCTGGTAGCATTGTTACAGGATCCAGAGAAACTAGTACCATTAATGCAATGAAATAAAATGAATTTTGTTAACAAACCTTAACTTGCAGTTCATCTATCAATTCTCGAAAATGGCTAATAAACAAAATTAATACCTATTAGACGATTATGTTATCATAATGGAAAATTGGAAAACGGAACTAAATTGATCTATTAATAACATACCTGACGAGGAATGGCCAAGAATTTATCAGATAAATTTTATCTTTCATCACACAAATAATGCTATACCTGCATAATGAAAAAATGGAAGAACATGTCAAGCACATGCATGGAAAAAATACTTAAAATAATTGATTATTTATGGAGAGATGCAGATAGTGTTGAGAAGATCTCTGTTGCATTGTGCTTGTCCCGACGCTTTTCTAGACTCATTATGCTAATCCTTTGAGCTTATGACTGCACACAACACATGCATATGTCATTGATATTTTATACAATTCAGGAATTGCACATTACCATCTCTGGAACCCTCTGGACTGCTTGTCTTTCAAGAAGAAAGTATGTGTGAAGACATATCCTGTTGCTTCCTCACCAAAGAACATTGGTCCTTCACGACCTGGACAAACTTCACAACTCAAGCTAATTTAGATGGAAAGGAAAAGAAAAATAGAAGGAAGCTTAAAGGAGAGGTGTACTATATTGCATGGCCATGGGGTAGAATCATGAAAAGAGTTTAATATGTGAATACTTAGCAATACCAACTTTATCTATACAGGATTTACTGTACATTATTGACAGTTATTTAACTGATAAACTCATGGTTTTTAACAACTCTCTATCGATTAGGGACCATTATAAGATATTTACCAGCCTAAAGTCAGTTAATTAGATAGGGAAAAACTGTGCCCACAGACTTGAAAAAAGACATTGGACAGTGTATTCAAGACCTTGGGCAAAGTTTTTCCCTATATCCGGACCTTCTGGCTGGTTAATAACATATTTATGCTGGACTACATAGATAGTGCCATGGTGGCTAGTTTCATCCAACTCCTCCTTTCTAATTGCTAGATCATCAGAGCTTATGGATATTTTTTTGGGGAATACAAAATAAAAATATGTGATGATACCTTCGAACACATGCCTGTCTGACAATACTATATAACTCTTGTTGCCCTGGGTTACGGTTGCTATAGTAACTGATGTGGGCTTCTTTGTCAATACTAATGTATCCAGAATGAGTGGAGTCAAGTGAGTAACATGCCTACAAGAAAAATGGATTCATTTATACTCTTAATAATTTAATAACATAAAATCAGATGTCAATACTGAATTGGGAAATGTTTGTCTAAATGACCATGCATGATATTAAAAGAAAAATGAAAAAGCTCAAGCATAGAAGACAGCGATGGCAAAACAATGATGCAAGCAAGTTTTCAAAATGGTTTTTGTGCGCTTGCCATTGTCGATGTTCTTGGCGTCGCTGTTCTCGTCGCTGTTATACTAGAGAGACTAGCAATGCCAAGAATGATGGTACGCACAAGAAATTAACTGTTTTGAAAATATGCTCGTATCATAATTTTGGCGTCCTTATCCTTGATTCTTGAAGTTCGATCCTACTGTTGGGAAGCAAGTTCATATAGGTTGACAATTTAAAAATGAGAAATAGTGTCCGTGACTACTTGTGCTAAGTGTATTACCTCACACTGGCTTGATTTGGGTGTCGTATTGTTACTTGCTCCCTCGGATGTACTTGTTGATATTGAACGACTAAAACACCTTACAGAAACGTAAAAAAAAATACATGTGAACTAATAATAATATAATGATAATAATAATGATGATATTTATATTTCATGATAATACAATATGGAATACCACAAGTTAAAATATAAATTACTGAAACCCACACCAAAAATAATCCAAATTTACCGCATCACCACAAACCATTAAAACCCAAATTTTTCCCAACTTAGTTGAAACTTTTCATTACGATAACTAACTGGTAATATGCCAGTCGTTCTAAAAGTTATTTTATGGGAATATATATATGATTGACAGCATCTCAACATTAATTTTGTGAATTGTATTTGATCTCACCTTTTAGCACAAGAACCACAGTCTGAGGAAGAAAGATTATCAGCTCCTATAGGATCGTGTTCCTCACAGTGAAACGCCTACAATTTGTACACAAATAAGTACTGTTTTTATGTAAGAAAGGAATTCGCAAAGGTTGTCGTTTTTGTAAAAATTACTGTGTAGTACAAAAATATCAGCATTCTTTTCTTACCTGAGTGCAAAATAGCACCGTAGGACCATGGTATTCACAGAAATGACACAGTGCAATAATAGCATTCATGATTCTAGCGAATATTTCAACAACAACAACAACATAATGGAAGAAAAATCTCTAAATTCGTGCAGATGAAGACGTGACCCAACGACAACATCCAGGTTTAAAGAAAAAACAGGCAAAAATCTCGAAAAGAAATTGTTTCTTAAACCTGAGAATTAATCTTTGCGACTTTCCTAAGGTCCTTGTAACGAATACATAAAATTCTGCGATATTTTCCAGGAATTTTTAGATATTTTTTCGCTCTGTTTTACTTTTCGTATTTGTTCTATTCCAACATGATTGTCATGTGACTGAATATAGCGTGACATGAGTCATGTCACGCGATTAAACTTAGTACCCAGGATTACAGAGACAACTCAAAGGTATCCCAATCACAGGTTTAGGATTTTGCCGAAAGAAAATAAAAGTTGAGAATTTATATAGGGGTTTGAATTCGGGACTTGAATAGGTGAAATATAGGGGAAAAAAGGGGGGAAGGAACTGAAAAACAGGGCAGAAAAAAGGGAATGAATAAAATCCAAAATTAACTTGGAGATTATAGTGCGAAAAAGAGATTTGAAAAATTGGTGAGAAAATTGTAGAAAGTAAAAGGAGGGAACCGGAACGACAAAAATAGGAGGAAAGTAACCAAAAGAAAGAAAATAGGAAGGGAAGGGGAGGAAAGAGGGAAGGAAGGGAGGAAGGAAGGAAGGAAGGGAAGGGGAGGAAAGAGGGAAGGGAGGAAGGAAGGAAGGAAGGAAGGAAGGAAGGGAAAAGGAAAAAAGAGGGAAGGAAGGAAGCAGGGAAGGAGAGAATAACCAAGAAATGAAGAAAAGAAGCAAAAAAGCTCAATTCTACTTTTTTTAATACCAAATCTTAGCATCGGCTCCCTGTGTCTCTATTTTATGACATTACACCCTTAATTATAATCTAACAAATGCTACTCCCCTTTACACAAGCTAAATAGAAGTTACATTTTATGCACTTTACAGAAAATCTCTAGGTACAATCAACTGACTGCCACACTTTTTTTCAATCTGCTTCCAAACTCTCGTATTCCAGCCGCTGGTATAAGACTGTGGGCTCACAATTACCCCACTCTTCGAGTCAGCGGTTTTGTCAGTAGCGATCCCACCAATCAGGACGAACTTCTTGTTCATTGGGATGTGAAGGCAGGAGCAGTTTGTTGTCGACCCGTACGGGACACTGATGATGGTTTTGCCCTTGGTCACGCTACTAGAGGTGTCCTTGATGACTTGATGGATCACAAGGTGGTAACGCAAGAGATGTTTCTTCTCGTCTTTGGGCAGAGCTGAGATCACTCTTGCCAATATGGCTAAAACGTAAAATGCAAACATTAACCGGCCATCACGAGATTTTGACACACGGGAGTGTCTTTCTAATAATTTCATTCGGGGGAGGGAAAAATGGATAATTGAATGGGAGCTAATTGCTGTAAATTTTTTATAACAGTTGTTAAAAAATAAAATGAAAAGAAATGAAAAATGGAAAGTACATTGACAAAAAGATAAAGTAAAGGAAAAAAATGGAAATTAAATGATACTCACCTAAATTACTGTTTTGACAAGCTTGATGTAGCCTTACGCGAACACAATTAGGACAACTTCCTCTTGCTGCAACTAAAAACCATAAAAATGTCCATGTTTAGAAAATATTTCTATACACTTTTAGCCTTATCGGGCAAATTTAATGCAGATCCATTTTTATTCCTCAGGGTTTGTTTATATAAACTATTTCCACTCAATTCTCAGCTCACTTCTACACTCATCCAATCCATTTCAGGTACATTCCTTATTCCTATACGTTCATCCCATCCATTTGGGATGCATTCTTATTCCTATACGTTCATCCAATCCATTTCAGGTAGATTTTCATTACTATACGATCATCCAATCCATTTTAGGTACATTCCTATTCCCATGCGTTTATAATCCATTTAAGTGCCCGCTTCTCATACTAGCCATATCTCTCATAACTGCAACTTATAACTCTATAAATGTTGATTATATCCATATACAAAAGGACAATACAATCATTAACTATAAAACATTATCTTTATTATATCATGTGAATTCTTATTCCTATGCGATTAGATGATCTCACCTTTTCCTGGCCTACATCTCCTCAAACACAGCTGCTTTGATAAGAAATTGTTCTCGTTACCATAACAACCACCATAGTTGAACCTTTTGCATCGACCGGTCACAGAGTCAAAGGTCCATCGGGAAACTTTTTGTGTACATGGCCCACGATTGACTGGCTGTTTACAGATATCCCCTTTGAATTAAAAAAATATACCGTATTTAGTCGTTTAAGCGTCACCCACAATTAAGCGCCGCACTCAAATAAGCGCAGCACCTAAGTACAAAGTTATTAATAAGCGTCGCCCCCGAAAAAGCGCCGCTTTTATCCATTAAAAAAGAACAAAACAAAAAACAAAAAACAAAAACAAAAAAAAAAAAAAAAAAAAAAAAAACAAAATAAATGAATAAAGAACAAAACAAAAAA